ATATAACTTTCAGAATAAATTCACATTGTTTTTGTTGCCATGGTGTCATAGTTCACCTTTCAAATGATACACATTTTTTCCAAGTAACATCATTTTTCCTGAGTACAAAGGAAAAATGAGCTCACTACACAAAATTTGAATTATCTAACTATGCATAAGATATATTCCATAAAATAATTTATCCACCCAGAGAAAAATATACATGTCATATTCTTATATCTAAGTTTGACAAAATTCAGATTCTTTTATTCCTAATTTTTCCTATCTGCTATGTATCATTAAGTATCACTCTGTCCTATATAACCTTTTATGAATGTACAATATGATCAGATGCTTGCATTTTTATATTATGTAACATTAACATAAAACTTTGTTGTGTGTTTTCTCTATAGAAACGTGTTCTCAATCTTATTCTTGCCTAATTCTTGCACAAGATACAATTTTAGATTATTTTAAATGATAATATGTAGACCTAAAAGCAACTATCAGAATATTTTTTCTTCTAATAAAATGTGATCAAGAAAACAGATATGTTACCTTTATTTTCACAGGCCATCCACTGAATAGGTCCTCTGTCATAGTTATGTTGACCAACTGAAAACGTGAATACACGTACCTGGATGAATTGAAAAACAGGTTTCTGTTTAGGCTAATAAAATTTAAAGGAACGGCCAATCATAACAGCTAAAGTTAAAAAAAAAAAAAAACATGTTTTTCAGTTGATTAATATGATAAGAAAAACAGAGGCCAGTAAAGAATTCAGACAGGCATTAGAGGGAAATCGCATAACCTACTCTAAACACAGATTTCAGTTACTAAATTTAATTAGCACTTGGGTGTCTTGCACCATATCCTGATCCTCAGGCAGGAGCATGACTAAGGTTTTATTAGTAGAAAAGGCATCCAACCTAACTTTACCTGTCTCACTTGGTTAAAACATACTTACATATCTAGTCACTGCAAAAAAATATATATTTCCCTATTCCATAGGTAGGTGGTGATGAAAATGTATACAGAAAGGTAATTATTCCTTTAGTTGCTTAAGGCAATTAAACTTTGTGATGGATTTGCTGCTTTCGCACCATGGAAATATTTAGGATGTATATATATGATGTTAGTATATTACTTTATTTTCTATACTAGATGGCTGGCACATACAAATAGATATTCTAAGCTCCTAGATTTTTAAAGAGAATCAAAATATTGACTGCTTTTAAT